GAACTCGGTAGGTCGCCCAGAGCGAGGCGTGTCGTCCAGGTCGAAGTTGCCATTTTTGAACTTGGCAAACCAATCTCGAGCAGTCCTCGCAGCTATAGCACCCTCTCCGTAAACGGCACAAATATCCCGAGCTGCTTCGGCTGCTTTTTGATTACGGCGAAACGCGAAATAAAGCAAGTGTCGAAAATGGGTTTTCTTGCCGCCTGGTATTTCCATTTCAAATACCTGAAAGTTAAGTAAAATTAAGTTATTCGGAAAAATGGTGGCAATAAGTTTGTAGAGGAAAGAACGCTCTTTCGAATGACTATATCCACTTTGCCAAACTTCAAAAATATGGAGTGAAAACAAACAAAATATAAAAACGGCGGGAATATATGTTACAACCCAATATTTGTCTGTGTATCCTTGCAGCCTTCTGAAAATTTCTCTCGTTTATCTCTATTCTTTATGCTACACCTGCGGTTTTACAAAATGAAACTAAACTTTTTTGGACGCTGCACCAGGACGCTTATAGGAGGATCTGCCCTACTGACTAGAAATGACAATTACAGTATAATAAAAATATATTCCCTCTACAGATCAGAATTAGGTGTATAGCTCCCACTTCTGAAAATATGCAAATGACATTTTGCACCTCTGGATATTTATCTTGAGAAGCTGTGGCTTTCTAGTTTTAATTGACTGCCCCCTCTTCCTCTCAGATTAACCAAAATCTCGTGGCTTGTGATTCAATCTCTTAACAATAGGCCTTCATTTATTTCAGCCCTTATTGGGGTATTCTTGAGAAAATTCTTGCTCCATCCCATCCTTTTGAAAAGAGAATTTTCGTGGGCAGACGGAGGAGCTCTGGCCCGAGATTGGTGTGCCCAACGCGAATCAGCCACTCTCCCAATCCCATTTCCTCGCGATAATATAAAGATCCAGTTGCCCTGGCGTTATCGCTTGGTGAAACGACTCGAGAAAATGAAAAATAATTTATGTTCAAAGCATAGAAAGAAGTCGTCGCAAACAAACTGCTGTGCTATCTACTATCCCATGCACTCCAAAGAATCTCAAAGAGCGACAAGTTTTCTTTTTCAACACACAAAATATATCCTCATGACGAGATATATTGTAGGATATCGCTCTTGCAGGAAATGAAGCTGACATGCGAAAACGACCTAAGTACGGACAAGGACTTCATGTGCCGTCTCCACATAGCTTGTGAACAAGCTAAGCGCACCCTGTCTTCAGCTTCTGAGGCCACTGTTCAAGCGACCTCTCCTAAATTTTGTGAGGATTTTCGCTCCACGATCACACGTGCACGCTTCGAAGCGCTGAATTCGGACCTCTTCCGCTCCACCATCGAAACAGTTGTTCAGGTAAACAACTTGACAATAGGGAGTTGCGGTAATAATGGTTTAGACACTTCTCCCTGTGAATTCCTCGTTACTGTAGGTCCTTGCAGAGGCAAAAATGGACAAAAGTTCGATTGACGAGATCGTTCTTGTTGGTGGCTCAACTCGTATTCCAAAAATCCAGACGCTGTTGGTTGAATTATTTAATGGCAAGGAAGTGAACAAGAGGATTAACCCTGATGAGGCTGTCGCCTATGGTGCTGCTGTACAGGTGAGTGTATTGACAACACTAGCGCCCTTAACTGCAACTTACCAACAATAATCTTCTCTTGCCACTGTCAGTCTATGCCCACTGCGTCTTTTGCAGTTTTGCAATTTTGCATTAGAGACGAGCTTCTTCCGAGCATTCACACATTTTTAATCAGTTAAATAGTGACCTCCCTCTGAATTATTTATATATATATATTTCAACCTATTAGGCTGCCGTCTTGCGAGGAGACAAGAGTGACGCACTGCAAACCGTGACAGTGCAGGAATTAACTCCGTTGTCGTTGGGAATTGAGACACAAGGAGAAGTGATGTCCGTTGTGGTCAAGCGCAACACTCCCATCCCCACCAGGAAAAATAAGAATTTCACTACTTGCCATGATAATCAAACTTCCGTGCGTTTCAAAGTCCACGAGGGAGAACGGGCCATGTCCAAAGACAATGTGAGCTCTAATTCCAATGTAATCATCTTCGGGTTGAATTTAAAATATGAGACCTAAAAATCATGTTTCTTTCGAGCCTAGACCTGTGGGGCTTGATGCGGCCTCAATATGAAAGAGGGAACCATTACCATAGATATAATATTATTTTCGTATGTCATCCAGTGCGTTGAATTGATCCGTTGCATGAGACTGAGAAACATTTTTTCCACTAACAGACCTTGTTGGGGGAATTTGTATTGTCCGAGATCGTGTCTGCTCCCAGAGGAGTCCCTTCATTTGATGTAACCTTTGAAATCAATGCCGATGGGATGCTCCATGTTTCTGCACTGGACAAGCTGACTCGCTGCAAGAGACAGATCACTGTCAATTATGAAGGTGGGAATACCTCATTGAATAAATTCTGCAGTTAATTTCATGGAGAACCTGATTGGGAGAAGATGATGAAAATTGTACAAACTTTTCACGTGTTCTCCTGTGGTGTCATAATAGTAAGTTTGGGATGCGGACTGAGTTCCCACTTATAACTAACGAATTGCTTGGAATTACTAATTCATAGGAAGGGTTTTTGCGCTGCTAACTTTATAATAAGGTGAATTTCTGTAAGCTGTTATGAAGAGTGATGGAACCTGTGCCAAAAAGGAGCTTTGTGCAGAAAAATAGCAGAAAACACGCACAAACTATTACTATTAATTTTATAGATGTATCCGATATCTCAATCATATTATTTGTAATGATTGTGATATCGGATGCTACGCAGAAGTTGCTTAAAATATCGAAACTGAATTAAGGCAATTGAAAGTCGCTGGAAAACTCACTTCATTTAAATTAATCTGGGAGGAAACACAAGGAATATCATCCGTTCAATAATGTATGAGGGCCAGTCCATAAGTAAGTAGAACTAGTCTGAGAAAACGACAATAGGCAGGCAGCGAACCCCATAATCGCTCCAACGGTAGGGCATGCATGCTACAGCTGACAGTAAAGGCGGCAGCGCCTTGCATGAATCTGGCATGACTGTTTGTCGTAGTAAAGATGGCGGTGCCATTGTCAGCATGCACGATGGAGGAGCAGAGGTCCGTTATCAGATTTCTAGCCAGAAGGCGTGAAACCAAGTGAGATTCATGCAAGAATGGTGGCAAAACGAGGTGGCGAACACTGTATGAACGAAGCAGCTTCGTACAAGTGGGTGGAGAAGTTTAAATGTATTGGTTTCTGGAGTCGCCACATCCATAGGTCATCCGGGGTTCATCCAGTGCACTTGTCCGGCCTGCTTTAAACTTGTCAAAATGAAAGACTTTTTTGGGAGTCTCTTCGCTCCAGGTCATAGCATTCAATTATGGTAACCCCGTTCGTCACATTCCACCTTTCCCCACTTCTGCTGAGCTTCCACACTAGAGGCGATTAGAGAGGGCCTCTATCCATGGCATGATCATCTTTATGCATGTAATACTCCTCATACCATGCGCTAGTTTACTTTGGGGTCGTTTAAGTCTTTCCCTCCCAATGAAGTGGAATTTTTATGAACTTAGCTCAGGAATACAAGCGTTCCAATGGGAAGTAATGGTCTAGAGGGGATATAAAATGTTGAATACAGATGATATTCCAGTAAGAAGTCTAATATTTAAATGGCTAAATTTTCACACTGCAAAGCAGACAAAATAAACATGGTTGAAAATCCACAATAATCTAATTTACTGTTTATCTCTTAATAGTCGTAAACCCTCATCAGTTTGCAGTCCAACTGTTGACATTCGACACATTACAAACATACGTGACTGAACATCTCGGTAGGTATGACGAGCTAACGGAAGAAGGTGGTGTCTTTATTATAACAGTTGAAATTTTTGTGTAGGTCCGTCTGTCCGCCGGAGAACAGCACTGGTCGATTTCTTCGAACTCGACCCCATCGGGCCGATTTAAGCCTTGGCCCGCTCACGGCTCGGAACTTATTGGCCAACTGAGCTTTATGAGCCAGACCCGTGAATAATGTCTTATTCAAATCGGGGCTGCCCGCAGGCCGTTAAAGCTTCTAAGCTCGGGGTCTCTGGAGTCTTCATCTCCATCCGGCCCAAAACCCTAGCCATGCTACGGTCGGCGTGCCCCCCCCCCCCCCCGCCGCTTCCTCCTCCCTTTTTAAAAAATATAAGCATCTGCCCTTGAGTTTGAATCCTGATGCATTACAGCAACATAAGATAACTCTTCTAAATTAATAATGTGCAGGCGTCAAAGAACGATAGTGGCTTGTGGTTTGTTGATGAGCTATTTCGCGGTTCCATTCATATCGATTTCGTTCATCTGAACACGAGAATATGTACATACCTCACTTACAGGTCTTAACCTCTTCAGACCCTGTGGCATGTAAACATACCAAACATTAACGCGTTGAAACCCCTGTTGAAATCGCTTCTATGTAATGGGTCACACTGTAAGCCATAGAAGTAATAAAGAAAGTTCCCAAAAAAATTGCATGCTCCTCAAAGGACTCAGATTATATCACAAAAGGGGCTTGTGAACTTGGTGCTTCTTTGAATATGGCCGCTCGCATCGTCTGCGACCATAAAAGCCATTGTCGATTGCTCATTACTCTAAAATTCTGATACATGTTGAACCGCATTGCCAAATAGTGCTGGAAACAATTTATAAATAATGGGATATCTGACTTATCATAGAGCTCTCATGGGATAGGTCAAAACAGATGGGATGTACACTTACCACGAGGCATTGCGCCAGTGAATTTGCGTTTCAGGGTCCAAATAAACGGAACTCCTTCAACAGTTTTATTGCCGTGGCATTGATGTGCCTGACATGTGTTGGAGCCCTTCCAGCACCAGGCTGGCGAAATCGAAGAGAAAGACCAGAAAGGAGATGAAGATATGAACGGTGGCGGATCCGGGGAGGGAGGGGGAGGGGGGGACGAACTACAACTCATGATTGTTTAAAGTACATATTTGCAGGCAGTGCCTCCCACTTCATTCACTACCCAAAGAAACCATTTCTTGTGCTGCTGTTGACATTCTTATTTGGGAAAGTGAGAACGTAGTGTCCAGGGGATTAATGACCACTCCCTAGCGGGGTGGGGGCCGTGTGGGGAGCCTAGTCAGGGGCAAGAAGCTTCCCTCTAGGGAGTCTCTTTACAATTGCAAGGGTCCGAGGGTCACAGGTCCTAGCTCGCCCCTTCCCGGTTGCCTGTCCCCTCCCCCTGGCATGTCATACTTATACTTTCGACTACGGATATTGGAATACTCATGGGGCAAGCGAACTTTATTCTATAATTCGGAGTATTCCAATAATCGACATTATCTGCCGTATGGTACTGTAAATCGGGAAATTGTATTTCTTGAAGCGGTAAACGATTATAGTCTATTCCCGACCAAAATTCTTGGATATGGAAGCCCCCTGACACTTTTATTATGGGTAGCTATAAAGTGATTAACTGAAATTGACACGTGAGTGCGACCCTTTTGGGAAAGATTGCACAGGGTTGTCAGATTCTGTTGGAATCCTCCCATGGCCGCCACGACATCCACAGGACACTCGCTCGAAGAAAATGCATAAAAATCCATATCACGCCAACACTTTCTATTTTTACAACCCTTCCCATTATGGGCGAGGGCAAAACCATAGAATTTATTGCTCAAAACCTCATCCGTCAGGCTCATTAGCCGTCTTTGTCAGGGAATGGACATCGGTACGACGTTCAGCGAACGTCGTACCGATCTTTAGGAAGGGCGAAAAGAGTAATCCAGGGAATTACAGGCCGGTAAGTATCACGAGTATCCCAGGGAAGATCATGGAGAGCATCCTAAGGGACCATCTCTTGGATTTCCTCGAAGGAAACGCGCTCATTCGGGACTCTCAACACGGCTTTAGGAGGCGTTGAAATTGTCTCACCGATTTTCTCGAATTCTACGACTGGGCGACGGAAGAGAGGGATGAAGGGAATCCTGTGGACATCGTCTATTTAACTTCCATCTAGTGGCCTAGAGGAGAACTTCAAAGGGAACCCTATAGGCCTATAGGGTTCCGTATAAGTCCTATAGGGAATCCTATAGGTCCTATAGGACCAATAGGGAACCCTATAGGTCCTATAGGGAACCCTATAGGTCCTATAGGGAACCCTATAGGTCCTATAGCGAACCCTATAGGTCCTACAGGGAACCCTACAGGTTTTATAGGGAACCTTACGGGTCCTTTACAGAGCCCTTTGGGTCCTATAGGGAACCTATAGGCGTTATGAGGAACCCTATTGGTTCTATAGGGGGCTCTATAAGTTCTATAGGGAACTCTATAGGTTCTATAGGGGACTCTATAGGTCCCGAACTGAACTCTATGGGGCATAGAGGATCCTATAGGATTCCTTTAAGTTCCTATAGGATTCCTTTAGGTTCCTATAGGATTCTTATAGGAACATATAGGAATCCTATAAGACATTTTCGTAAGGGGATTTACTTCCTTGGTCTGCATTCATGGGGTCGGTTCTGTCGTCGAGTACTTACAGCATTCAAAAATATTTTCAGTATACGCTCGTGAGATTCGCATGATGGGATAATGGACTCCCAAACCAATATCATACCTAGTGTGAAGTTGCAAGACCCATCCTATCGTCGTTGTACCAGGCCGACCGTGGCCGTTAAGAAGGGAAAAGTTTCACCAAAGACTCAAGAATGTCCCAAGCTATTCCCTGACTCATCCGACAATCCATAAAGGCACCATGATCGACCTGTCGACTGACATCCCTCCGTTCCGGGTGCGTCTTGGCGAAAATGGGGACGTATTCAGCGTATTGAGGGCAGTGGAATATGATCTAGTACTTTTCGTGCATGCACAGTTCTATTTGGAAATGAGAAACTCACAAAATGAAGGAAGCGAAGAAAAGTCCCTCTTCTCTGGGCAGCACACGATCGACCGCCGCTGCCAGCCATCTAATACCTGCATTTTTTTTTCAAGTTGTCCTATCGCCCCTCCTTTTTTCGCGTCCAGTACGGACTCCGCACCAGACCCATCACCGGACATGAAAAACATTAAGTATTTAAGGGTATAGCCATCACAACATCTCCATAGTTTAAATGAAGAGCTTTAGACAGTGCACCCACAGTGCAGCGGCCATCCTGATGACCACTCTGCAGGGGCGTGGCCAGTGTTTTCTTTTCAATATTGACAGCTACTCCTCAATGACCACCCCTACTCTTTTTTTTTATACGAGGTGAATTGAGGAGGTACTGATCACTGGCACAGCGCTATCTTTCCAAAAGCAGTGCTTCATTCCCCTAGCACTAGCTATGTTTCTCATACACCTGGATGAAAATTCAACCAAGAATTGCAATGACATTGAGCCTTTTTAAAATTGATTCCCTAATACAGTTAGTAGAATGAACTTATTACATATCGCTAATTTTTTGAGAATGGGATAGGGCAGTGACCGAATATTTCTCCCATGAAGGTGACAATGCAAATAGGCATTCATGAGCAGGTGAAAGAAGCCCCTGACAAAAGTGTGACCTTCCAGCAGGCAAAGTTCCAAAATGAGTATATCTATTTCAAATTGGACGAATCTCCTTAAAAAAATTTACAAAGAAGCCAATTAAACTAAGTCCACTGGAAATAAGTAATTACTATTGATTGAAATCGGAGATTTTGACAATGACAAACGCTTAGGAGGGACATCCCTATTAAAGTAGTAAGCAGTGGATTACAATGCCAGTATTGGAAAGACGACGAAGATGTGGCAGAAAACCATATTTGTTCCAATTCCTTATTTCTTTTGGACCTTTGGAAGATCATGGAGAGCATACTAAGGGACCATCTCTTGGATTTCTTCGAAGGAAACGCGCTCATTCGGGACTCTCAACACGGCTTTAAGAGGCGTCGAAATTGTCTCACCTATTTGCTCGAATTCTACGACTGGGCGACGGAAGAGAGGGATAAGGGTAATCCCGTGGACATCGTCTATTTAGAATTAGCGAAAGCTTTCGATACCGTTCCTCACAAAAGGTTGCGGGTGAAACTGGAGAAGCACGGGATCCATGGTAGGACGATTGAGTGGAGTTGGTTTGCAAGACGAGAGCAACGGGTGATGATAAATGGGGAAACGTCGAAGGAGGTCGGAGTCGCAATCGGTGTCCCTCAAGGCTCGGTCCTTGGACCGCTCCTGTTTTTGGTCTATATAAACGATTTGGATCTGGGCGTAGAGGGTAAGATAAGTAAATTTGCCGACGACACCAAGATAGGTTTTGCCATAAGGGGGGAGGCGGATAGGGCTAGAGCCGAGCGAGATTTAATTCTTTTGGATGAGTGGAGCAAGAAATGACTCGTGAGGTTTAATAAAAGCAAGTATAAATTTCTCCACGTCGGTCGAAATAACGGTAGGTCTCTCGACACATTCGGTGAGGTTAAACTGGAGGAGGAAATCGGAGAGAGATTTAAGAGTTTCTATCGACGATGACCTCAACTTTTCCTCGCACGCGCAAGCGACAATGGGCAATTGTAGCAGGATTCTAGGTTTCATTCGTCGTTCGGTTGCAAGTAGAACTTCGTTATTATTCCGTTGTATGCGGCGCTGATAAGACCCCAGTTGGAATATTGCATCCAGTTTTGGAGGCCTAAAAATTGTTTGCGCTCGAGGGGATACAGAGGAGGGCCAGAAGAATGATTAAGGAGGTTATGGGGCTTCCGTACGAGAAGCGTTTAGAATTGTTAGGACTGTACTCGCTCGAAAGAAGGTTAAGGAGGGACGGTCTCATCCAGGCTTTCAAGATAATTAAAGGAATAGATAATGTCGAGTGCGGTAGGTTTTTCCAGTTTGATGGCAGCAAGTGAACAACTAAAGGTAACAACTAAAGTTGCGCAAATCGCAGGTGCGGCTCATGTCGAGACAGGAATTCTTTACTTGCAGAGTGGCGAACGCGTGGCATGCGTTACATGGCGAAATAGTGGCTGCCCCTTTGGTGACTTTTATAAAAGGAGAAATTGGATGCTTTTATGGACAGGCAAAAAGGTGGGGGCAATGTTGAAGTTAGGGACTAGGCAGTAAGCAACAACGATGCGCTAAAGAAAAAGGAAATAAAAGATACAAAAATATTGATATTTAGCTTGAAGAGGATTAGACCGACCCTAAAATTTACTCTAACCTAACTTACGTTTTGAAATTGCTCATATTTGAAGGAAAAATACATGTTTAAGTTCGTATAAGAAAACCCTTTCGAAATATATATATTAAATCAAAATTGCTCTTATGTCATAAAAGAGCAAATTTCTTTCACCTTTCAACTCGTTTGATGGCCGCAGACACTACAGAAGCTTGGATCTGACGTATCCCTTCGTTAATGAGAGACCTGAAAAGCGGTCCGACTTGTATGTTCAGGGTATGGCAAAAAAAAAATTGACCAAGAGTTTCAGCCCAAATATCTCCCCTCACAATAGAGCTATTTTCGCGAAACGTTCCATTAGAGAAATATGAGTATGTTTCCAAATGATTCATCAAATTTAATCCGAATTTTTTTGGAAAAGAAGTCAGATATTGAAAATGGATAAGAGCTCCTCCTGACGGGAGGACACATTCGAGCGCAGAGTTCAACATGGTCTTCATGAGCAGGATGGACGGTGCTCGAGTGTTACCTCCACTCCAATACTAACAGGAGCTCTTGTCCATTCTCAAAGTCTAACTAATTTTCAATGGTTGCCGATAATGCTGCTTTGTCTCATCAAATTTGGATGAAATTTGATGTATCAGTTGAAAACATACTCATATATGCAAAGGGAAAGCTTCGCAAAAATAGCTCTAATTTGAGGGGAGAAGTTTGCGTTGAAAGTCGTAGGTCATTTTTCTGCCATACCCTGTACGGATGGTAGAATCATGCTTGTCGAGCTGAAAATGTAAAATCTCCCTCATCCCTTACATGCTGATGCACTTTTGAAAATTCAGAGGTGCTCAAAGCAGTTATGTGGTGATGCACTACAGCATTCATTTTTATACTCATCATAATATCATCAAAGTTTAAACCAAATATATATTTTTAGAGATTGGGTTTCGAATTGGCTTAAAAATTGTTCGGTGGGATCATGGGTTCAGTATCGTTGCTACAAGACAATCTTTGAAGATGTAACATCTTACTCCAATAAATCCATCTATGACAGACCGCTTGAGCGAATATGAGATTGAAGAAATGATGGAGAACAGCAGGAAATACCATGAGGAGGATGAGTTGCAGAGGGATCGCGTGTTGGCTAAGAACTCATTCGAGAGCTTTGTGTTTGGCTTGAAGAACGCCCTAGAGGATGAAGACTTCAAGGATTACGACATCCCATTAGACGAAGAAGCCCTTTTGGATAAATGCGAGGAAGCCATCGAGTGGCTTGATGCTAATAAGGTATGGTTCAACCCGATCATACCCGGTATTTACGTCATCAATGGCTATGTGTTGCTTTTTATGCTTTCAGTTCGTTTATTATCATGATTATCGTTCCTTAGATCCGTGCATGCACGAGGGATTCAAAGGTAGTCGAATTTTTAATTTCCACTACACTCTCTCCCAAGAAATGTTAGACACTTTTTCACTTTGTAGCTTTTCGTTATTGGTTCAGACTATTACTATGCGCTTTTAAGTGCTGACTAAGACATCGAATGAGCATATGCTTGCAAAGTTGTGTAAAAATCCATCGATTCATTTCGGAGATACAGCAGCTTATTCTAAGTCGGGTTGCGTCAGACCATTTCCGCCGGCCGGACTCAGCGCGGGCACAGCCAGCCAGAGTGGAAACACACCGTTCCCACGTCGCAGGAGAATGCGAACCGTGCAGCGTTTGGATTTTGATCATTGTCACGTGACTTCACTGACACGGTGCATTTCCAGCACATCATCTGAGTGTCAAACAGTTAAAATTATTGAAGTTATCTTGATCGTGCGCACCATGTCAGTCATCCTGTATGAGGCACAATAATGAATTTGGAATTATGCACCCATACAGTTCTGGCCGCACTCCCTTACTGCTGGTATGCTCTGAATAATCTCCTGTATTTCAGGAACTAGCGAATGAATATTGTTATAACTTTGCATGCATGTGCCCATTTGATGTCTTAGTCAGTCCTCAAATGCGCACAGCGATAGTCTGAACCAATCACGAATGGCTACAAATTGAAAAGGGGTCCAAATTTTTTTTGGGACAGAGTGGATTTCTTGCGCGTCTTTATACTCTTACTTCATCGGTTTCACTGGCCCTGGAAGAAACCTGTGAAGCAACATTTCTAGCACACCGTTAGGCTCTTTCATCGGCTAACTTTCATTCCAGAACGTCTCTTTTTCTCTAATGTTCATTAGACGTTAATCTCCCGAAAAATGTATACTTCCCCACCTTTTACATGGCGTTTTGAGAGCAACACGAAATGTCAAAATAGTAATATGGAGCACTAACCAAATGCCCGCAGACTTACATGAAACGTGGTGGTTAACTGACGAAGGGACTGTTAGCACAACAAAACTGTCATATAAGGATCATAGCCAGCAGTTGCCATAGTAACAACGTCCATAGCCATGAATTTAAATTTTCACGGAATTCTGTCTCATAGCATTCAAATGAGTCAAACCCCACTAATATTGAACTCAAAGATATCTAAAGGGAAAGGAGAATGCCTCCTTTAGTCAGAGACCCCAATTTACCTATTGATAATTTTCAACGAGTTCTATCTCATAGCATGCAAAAGAGACCCCACGTTCGAATTTCGAATAGCCACGCTTTCACTTAATAAAAGGCGCCGTATTCCTCCATCAGGGAGCCCCCAATCGACTCAGCACAAATGGTCACCAATTTCTGCTACTTAAGATCCAAGTGTAGTCGCTCTTTTGAATTTCGAGAGTCCCAGTATTAAATGAAGAAAGTCCATTTTGAGCACTGCAAAGAATGTGGATCGATAATACCTGTTAGGATCGGGCGTTTGCCTCGGTTGGCAACCGGGTTTCCAGTTGGGTGCATGCACATGCACGTACCACGCGTTCTGAAGCTCAGCTAAGAAGACTGCGGACTGGCAAGATTTGCCCGACACAATCAGCGCACGTTTGGCTTGTAAGGGTCTTTCTGCTTTCGAATTTCAGGTTGGATGTAGGCCAAGATACGAATCGGCCCGATTGGGTCGGGTTCGAAAATAATTACCCGTGCAGGCCTCTAGGAAGGGTTTTTCCCAAATGACACATGGACATTAGGCAATAACGTTTGGAGTGGACTTTTTGAACATTCGACTCAGAAGGTATCGCCTCCAGATCATAAATTTTATCTGTCTAGGAGGTGCTCCACTGAAAAACTTACAGACGGACATATTACTCTTCTGTAAATGGATAGATGAATCAATGGGCTTTCTCTTCTAGATGGCTACAAAGGAGGAATTTCAGCAAGAGCAAAATGAATTGGAAAGACTGTGCGATGCTGCTATAGTCGAGAAGTACCAGTCCTGGTGCCGTTCCTCCCTGGAGTTGCAGCAGCGGCTAGGGCTTCGCCTGGATTGAAGCAGGAGAAATGGATTTTACAAGAAATTGATTAATTGCATACTATCGCAAGCATGTCGGTTTTGCAATCTATCTCCAAATAGTTAACTCCTTCACTGCTGCCTTCAACTTACGCATCATATGATAGCACTGAAGATCTTTATGACTAAAATTGAACATTTTTCCCGAGTGGTAGGAAGTTGAATCGTGAAATTGGAGTGATCCATTTGATATCGTGGACGATCTGGAATATAAGAATTATGAGTTGAGTGACCAAGGTTTTCATAGAAGATACGAAATAATTTGGGCTTCATCATTTTGTAGGGTTTTTACTCTCTGATTCTGGAAATAAATCATCCTGACAGTTATGTTTGCATGAATTGATGAAAAAAATTGCACATGATGAAGCTTTTCCAGGCGTGTATATCTGGAAAACATGAGTAAAAGGAATGGGCTGGGGTGCTCCTGACCCACAGCGAGCAAGCTGCAATAGAATAAAATAACCATTAGGAAGGAATACTTTCCTTCCCACCTCAAATTCTACTACTGAACATGCACCTCAAAATACAAGAAGAATTCCAGGCATATTTACAAGCAAATAATGAAACATTGTTCTCAGCTCAACCAAGCGAGTGCCACAGCTTCAGTTTGCGAAACAACAGTTTGCCTATAAGTTCGGAGCGAAGGTCAACAAACTGTAGCCCACCCTCGATGTAGCACCGCCCGTACGTAGTCTCATGATTGGTCGTAATCATGGCTAGCACAATGAAATCGAAAAGGAGTTGCTCTCTGATCTCGTCCTTGCTATTTCTAATCGTTCCTTCTGACTTCAGTCAGCAAGGAACAGAATCTGACTCCAACCAGATCAACCTAAGTCGGGTTTCAACCAGCACTCAACTAGGGGAAGGTGGGACAAAACGGGGCAACTCTGATTTTAATGAAACCATTCTCGATATCAATCGGCTATTTTCCTTATTATAACCGCCCACCACTGTTGAAAAATTTTCAGGCACAGCGGTGCTCTGTAAAATAGTTTGTGAACTCCCCAGGAGCAAAATAAGAAAACATCGACTTTCTTAGTTTATTCAAAATTTTTATGCGCAAAAAAATTAACATGGGCACATTGGAGGCGTCCGATATTTTATTTGGCAAAAGGTGAAAATGTGAGCTACTACACGAAGTCATAATAATTTGCATAGCTCACTCACCTTCTGTTTGGTAGTGTCTTAATCATATGGGGCAAAACGGAGTCACAGTGAGGGGGCTAAATGTGACGGTGTAGAGGCATCATATTCAGTAACACTTCAGTAGGCTGTTTCGTGTATATTTTCAACTTTTTACATCTTTTCGTTTGACTGAAGTAAAAGAAATTCTTTGAAAAGTCCCCCTGAATAAATACGCCTCGAAGGCGTACAAAAACCTACAAAGATGGATTTGTTTTGAACTCTGCATCCCAATAGCTACTTGTGTACCAAGTTTCAAGTTACATTTCTTGGATCGGGTTCGTCTGCACAAAAAGGGAGAGTTTAGCGAACTTGTAATTTCCTGCACGTACTCCTAGCACCGGAACACGATATCTCACAATCGACCAGGGGGAAAAAAAACACTTAAAAGGAATTCATCCATAGAAAAGGGACTTCAAAATTCCAATTTTAGTTTGATACTATCGATATCTTAAAAATTTGCAAGGTCTAAGCATGGCACGCTACAAAGAAAGCTTTTCTAATGCCCGAAGAATGGGAGATGATGTCATCATTGGCAATCAAAAACCTCTCATAACGAATTTAATTGTTTTAAATGCATATACCCAGTAACACAAAAATGAACCAGCATTCAGACAGTGAATCTATATTTAATCCATGTTGATTCAATGTTTAGTGCTACTACGGGTCTGAAGGAGGTCGCGTGTAGTGCCCCTAGTGAGACAGAGCCTGACCAACTCTGGCTTTGAGCATCATTTTGATTCCTTCGCGTTCGATCTCCCAGTTCCTTCGCTTATTAATCGCTTCAATTCCCTAAAAACTGGCTCAGTTGTGATTGCTCATATGCGTTACCAAATGATAAAATAATTAGATACACTCTTGGAAACATCACCGATCATAATCCGTTACGCTCAAAAGTCTTTTTTGTACTTCGGCTGACATTTGAGACGTTCCTGATATATAAAAATCCCAAAATTCCTGTCGACAGAATCCAGAATAAAATAAATCTACTGTTGTACCGCACGCATCTATCCATCCAATCTTTCAACAGACCTTCATTAATTATGCAAATTACCTAAGGCGATTGGACTGTTGTCAAAAGGCTTCAACTTACTAATCAGAATTTCAGACTCTGATGGATTTGGAGAGCGCTTTCTTGGTGAACGACGAGATGGCTTTGCGTTAGAATGAGGAAATACTGTTGGTACAGCATTACATTTCATCTTTTTCCAAACTAAGCATGATTCTTCTCTAGGTCCTTCTCTTCGAAATACTCCTCTGAGAAAATAAGCTTCAAAATGCTGATTGATTGTCTCCCTACATGCCTACCATGATAGGGATGCAGGAATGGTTTAAGATTTAAGATAATCTGTAAGATTTGGACGCATCGAACAGCAGGACATTAAGCCCATGGGATTGACCCTTCCCATATAGCCAATGCCGGGCTCTTGGAATCAAAATGGCGCCGAGGCCCAGCAGCCAATCAGCTTCTTTAAAAATAAGAACTGGAGTTGGCCAGGCTGTCTCTCTAGGGGCTCTAGTCGCGTGGATTCCGTAACAGCTCCCTCCCCTCTCCACAACATAGTCATCCATATAAAGATAATCGAATTCTCATTTTTTAATATTTTTCTTGCAGATGAGGAGCCAGGGTTTCTGACCCGGTGGTTTGGTTGGTTATGGCCCAGTCGGAGCCCAAATAACAGCACATGACCGAAATCATGTCTTGGGTCGAGCCAATTCTGTTAAGTTTCCTTTCGGTGGGGTAATCGGTGGCAAGTCATCCGCGAATGTAGATGCCTCCGACGAAACTAATGATGCACAATATGAATATAAAGGAAATGAGGAAAACATGAAAAAAATGAAACAAATTCGCATTTTTCTGACCACTCCTGATAGATGGACACTCTTTTTTTGAATGGAAAAGGTTGCAAGGTCTTTTTTGTGCAGTGGATCCCGTGGAACCACGAGGGGACTTAGAGGCTTTACATGGGATACTCCATACCAAAGGTCTTCGGGGATACGCTAGGGTCCTGCAAGTTGTTGCCCCCGATTTCATGAGCTCGTTGATCGAATCCCTTTCCCTATCCGTAACAGGCACTCTCTTCCACCAACCCATGCTTCAGGTCGGTCTGGTTAACATATCTCGTCTCAGAGTCATTGGAAAAACAAACTTTTTTCCTACATTTTCCCAAAATTGCATCTCCTTGGCTAAAGTAATTTGATTTCGGCCTCATAAATCTTCGGGTCTCTGTAAGTTCAGGGTGTTTGACTACAGAACAAGATCGGCGGAAAGACTGAAACACATGAAATGGCCCTCCAAACGGCAGCAGACGTCCTGCAATCACCCGTCATCGTCCTATCAGATGCAGAAGACCTGAAATCCTGTAAACTTTGAATGAAGCTAACTCTCTATCCCCAATGCATCGTCAAAATCCGAGCGCCCGTTGGGTTTACAGGGACGTTTCTTCCTGAAAATTGGAGAAATGGCTGGTTTTGGCAGAGACGACCCCGAGCTCTGGCATCATTCCCAATTCTCATCGCATCCTTCCCTTCCAGTGCTTGGCAGACTCCGGACGAACGAATATCGCATGGAGAAGAAAGACATTCCACCCGTCTATGGAAGTGAAAACAAATTACTTGGGGGGAACCTCTGGGCTGAAGCCATGGTTTCATGGGATGACTGGAAGGCCATGTTGGAGCGACTCGACCGGCACCTCGCTGGCCTATCGTCCCAGGTCCCACGTAGGATTGCGTTTTTTTCTCACCTTTCAGTTCGATAGAAAGCCATCAAGAAACTCCTTCGTACATTCTACACAAATAAAACAAGTCTATATTTGTTGCACTAGCTCGTGGCAGCGAAACATAAAAATCCTCAATCGCAAATAATAGTTTTAAAATACCCCGAAGGAATTCGTCGATGATGCATGACTCAGGTATTTAGAATTTGATACAATGACTTTATATTGGTATATTAATGATATATTGACTAAACTTGCAAGGTCTCTAAACGTTGCGATAGGAAGAGAGCTTTTTGAACGCCCGAATGAGGACAATTCCATCTTTGATAACGAAAAACCTCACCCATATCGATTTGAATTAAATTGAATGCCGGTTCATTCCAGCTAATTAGAGAACATAAGGCATCGCAAACAACGTTCCCTTGTCGAAAAAGGAAGAGGGGAGAGAAATTAATTGTTTCAAGAATGGTAAGATGAGAACAAGAGTCACCTAACCATCTTGAGCAGTCAGACATTGTATGAAAGGAATGACAAACGAAACCGTTCAGTCCGATATTTTTACTTGCGAATCGGCTTCGATATATCTTGGCCTGGAAAGATGCAGGATGGTTCTTTCAGGATGGAGGAGGACTCGTCTGCTAACCGGTTTCCCAAAGGTAGGCTCTCCTTGGATGGAGTGGGAAATGTTTCGTATTTCTTTGCGGTGAGGCCAAGAGTGCAGAGACCGTTCTCAAAGAATGTCAAGCCACTACCCATTAGCTCCGGGTCTCACTTCCTAATAGTCCCGATCGCGTCCGATTGTGCAGTGTTCTGTGTCAAGCCGGGGAGGCATTCGCAAAAGAAGATTTAAAAAACCCGTTTCCTTTCGGTCCCACAAGCAAGAAGTTTTTCCAGGAAATATTTCTCTGAGGCACTTCCGCTCCATTTCAACTTGACCACACTCATGCTTAGAAACCGCTCTCTCCCAACATAACAACCCCCGTCAAGCTGCTCAGATTTATCCGTTTCAAGTGTTTCTTTTCGTTGCAGACGAGGATCCAGGGATTCTGACCCGGTGGTTCGGGTGGTTGTGGCCCAATCGGAGTTCCTCAGAATAGCACTCAATCGTACAAGTCGATTCAGTGCTCTATTTCCGCTTGGTTTGCAAATAGGAACTAATTCCTCCGTGAATACAAATGCCTCCGACAAGACTAAATTTCCAGTTTGCGAGAACAACTGAATTAATGGAAACATGAAGTCAATCCCCACCTTTTCATCACCTTTGAGCATGGAGCACTCCCGACGGACGTGAAGCTCATTCTATTCCTAGAACAGGAAGAAATTAAGCTGATGGAAAAT